ATATTTGAATTAATAATTTCATATATGAAATCTTGTGTTGGTAGCTAATAAACGAATGATAATGATGAGAAAATTATTTTAGATATTTGTAGTTTTGATGGTAACCGCATTATTAATAAAATCTTGAGTGTGAATATGGGTTAGGGAGAAGAATAGATCCACATCCATAGTAAATCAAGTTAATGTGTGTTTTTCACTAAAAAAAATAATTATTTCATATGACACCTATCATATGAAAGTTAAGTAATGTAACATACTTCCACTTTAAATCATCTTCGCATTGAGTTTTACTTTTATAGTATCCATTTTTGATAAAAGTACCCATGTTCTCTGCATAACTATGAATGTGCATTCATTTGAAGTCCCACCGATCCATACTCAATGTTTTTTCTTATGTAAGCTTTACAAAGGGAACTCGAGTAAACAGAAGCTCATGGTAGAACTAAATTGGCTTATCTACAAAAAATTTACATGATTATGCCAGATGTTTGTATTATGCTAATGTTAATTTAACACTAATGCCAAAAGTATTAGAATTTGCTTAATAGTAATGCTAAGTCACAACCAGTAGTCACTTCTATGGAACGATATTCACACTGTTCCATTGAAATTTCTCGAACGACTTAATTCTCTGACTTCAGAGACACCGATCTGGTCGTCGTATGATAATTTCACTTAATAAATACTACGAGAACGGAAAGGAATTCATGACGATTTTCATCTGTTAACCATACCCAATGTTAACCGAGTCTGTGCAAGTCGGCCATCATCAACTTTTTTTAAAATCAGATTATTCATATTTGGTTACCTCTCATTGTCAAACTTAATCTTGATCCGACCAACTGTAATCTGTAGGAACTGTATCGGTGTACAATCCATCTTGGTTGACCTTTTAGTATCCATAAAATGGGTGTGAGTATGATAGTGAAATGAATCCCCACATGAAGTCAGATAACCATCCACATCCTTAATAGAGCAACGAGAAAAAGCTGAGTGGACTAGAGTTGCATACACAGCGGCAAAGGTCATACAGTGTTATCGTGTTGGATTCGTAGTCTTCTTTCGTATAAGTTCAAATTCATAAATCAGTGTCACCAGTTTTTCGAATGCTTAAGAAAAATCTTTTATCTGCCATGCCAATTGTCGTTCAAAAGTTGCGTACTCGGCGATGAGACATCAAAAATAAACATAGCTGGTTGTTTGTCAACCTTTCCTTCTTCAGAGTTTCTTCTCGTTTCGATTAGAGAAATGAATTACCAATTTGCAGCTAACACGAATGAATAGATACGGTCACATTTCTGACAGTATCACCTCTGCAGCTCGCTGGGTAAAACATACCTTCGCTCTTTGTTATCATTTTCAAATAAAGCGTAATTGAAATCTGCATGGTCAATTGTTTGAGTGGATTCCACCATCAGATATGTATTCTGTCAAACATCGATGTTTCACTCGCAGCTTATAAGCCATTTGTATTACGAGATGTAACTGAAACGCTTACGACTGTAACAATACTGTTTGCTACGTTTAGAAAATGTAAGGAAATGAACTTATTAACATCGATATAACGACATATATTCATGCCAAGATATTGGCTGATAGAAGCAAATGCATTGAGTCATTTAGATGCAGTAGCTTTTTTCCTTTTGCTGGAAAATACTAGAAAGTATCCGTCTTACTCTTCTTCAATATTACAAATATCTCGACGAACTCAGTTTCTTGACCTCTGATAATCAGTTTTTTTCCACAACAAAATCTATACCAGTCTATACTCAAGCTTCATATTTCTGGACTTAAAAGTTATAAAACATTATTCGAGTCGTAGCAAATGGTTCAATGGGAAAAACTGAGACTTCAGCACTCCGAAGTATGAGTGAAACACTAAAGTCTTGCTTTTCCCCCCTTAAAGTGGTTCTATTCACGAAACCATTACCTCTGCAAAAGGAAATTTCACGGGGATAGTTCTTTTTCGAGATAGAACTGACGAGTGTGAACAATGTAGATGCTATTGTATTTTAGCTGTCCATACCCTATATTATAGCAGTGAGAGGACAACTGGTGCTATCGATTAGCATAGATGATTAAACGATCAATCCACTACAATTTGCTTGAAAAAAGCGTTGACAGTGACAAGAAGGCAAACCATAGTAGTTGGGTATACTACATCTGCTATTCAAGACATTATTCTTTCCGAACATCCAAATCGCAATATCGATAGCAAAATAAACTATTACACTACAACGTGGTTTTTATGAGATTATTTCATATTGTATAATTAAGACATTTCCGTATATTAAGCATGATTTATTATAAAACTCAACAATTGAAAACTGAGTGTTCACGATGGAATTCACACTCCTGGCTTTGCTAAAATATTATTCAGTTTAAATGTGTAACAAAGTAAGAATTAGTTTTTTGAACGGCAGCAAAAAAAGGACAGCAAGGTACAGTTAATTTAACAGTCTGTGCAGATTGAAAATGGTATTTTCCTCTACGATTCAGCAGTGTTCAGACTTCCTAAAAAGGAAATTTCAGAAATTTTGGAAATTTCAAGTATTTGTGTTCTGAATTTTACGTTACTTCCTCAAATGATGTAATTTCCGAAATTTCTGAAATTTTCGCAATTATGTACTTACAGAAATTTCTGAAATTTCCAATATGTCTAAAAACGTTTGATTTGCACTGCTATATAGTTATCGAGCTGATGGAAATTTCAGAAATGTGGGTAATTTCCTTTTTTGGAAATCTGAACATACCTCTTGCTTTGTGACTAATTTGAACTTGAACTCATTTGGAATTTATTTCATAATCTAAGATACAGATTATGCACGATTTACACATCACTGCAGTTTCTTGTCGAACCTGTTAAAAGGTGTTTTTTGTAAAAAAAGAGTTTGTCCTATATATTTCCTATATTTTTAGGACAATTCTACATAAATGCTGTTTTTAAAATCGTATATGTTCCTATATAATCGATAAGGATGGTTACAAAGCCTGCAACCAAGAGAAAAACAAATAATACAAGCACTAAAAACAATATCCTCATCAACATTTTTTGAAGATCAATGTTTTTCTACAGTACCAACAAGTAATGATCGTGACAAACGTGAACTGTATGATATAGTTAAATCAAATAGTTCTGAACAAGATAAATAAAGTGACATATTGATATACGTTATTAGAATCAAATTTGTTGTCTTTATATGAGTGAAGAAAATGCACATTGGCTTATTTGTGTTTTTGATATTTATTCGCTTAGTATATAGTAGATATAGAATACAATGATGGGTATGCAGGACGGACCCAAGTAAATAAACATTGAGCAGGGATATCGTAACTTTTCGAAGCGGATAAATATTTCTCTCTAGTAGAGCGCAAGAAAAGTTTTCAGTTTCGGTGAGAAAAAATAAAAATTGTCTATGGTTAGAAGGGAAAGCGTCACACTCCTGACACTCCCACAGTCGAGCTAGTCTTCTTGGTATTCATCGTCTTTCTATTATAATTTCCACAGCAATCATTACTGTTCATCAAACAATTCATCATTAACCCTATTAACTTGATAGTGATGTTAACCTATTGCTAGGTAGTAAAAAAATTGATTCAAGTGCTTCAACATCATTCAAATCTTCCATGTCGTCAACAGTGAAGTGTTGATAGGGTACGATTGTGAGTGTGAATGAGGGTGAAGATGTGGAGTGTGAGTGAAGTAAAATTCAGTCACAATCTACATCCACACTTAAGTAATGTAAACTAACTTATCCAATATCTTGCATAAGATGCTCGACAATTATGAGGATAACTTGATAACGAAAAACGAAGTAAACTAAGCAAACTTATTCAATTTCTTTCATCAAGTATAGGGAAACATTGGGAGTAACCAAATGAAGGAAAAGGAAGTAAATTGTTCTATTTCATTTTTCTCATAGGTTGCTGAATACAATTATATTGAGCTTCTTATTAAAAACATGACTTAATATACTCATCAAGTTCTTGATAAAGTAGTAGAAACCATAAGTACCAAATATTGGCTGCCAAAGTAGACAGCTTTTTTTCAACTTTTATTAATAAGAAAGACTATTTGGTTGATGAGGGAACATCTTCAAGCGTCGAATACCTTTCGATTTCATATTATGATTACGAGTAGATTTTTGTGAGGCTAAAACAATTTTAAAAGGATTCAGATCCGTTACCTATTGGTGAAGAGTTATAGCTGTTTTAATGAAATCTTTACTAAGAGGAGTAGCTTTCCGAAAATTTCGAAACAAAGATTTTTAAGCTGAAATTTCGCCTATAGTTGCATTTGGTAGCCATTAGATAGTCCTAAAATTTCTAATGAAAACGAATATGATTTTCTTGTCATGGTCGATTTCTAAGAAAGCAGCAGTTTACCATAAGAGGATGCAGCAATCGAATCTATCTAGAAAATGAATATTTCGAGAAAGACATGTTTGTTTTCATGGAAACTTTCAAGATCAGCTCATGACTATCAAACGTTCCTTAGTGACAAAATTTCAGCTCGAAACTCTTTTTTTTTTAATTTTTCAGAAAGCCATTCTTCTAAGTAAAATTTTGTTAAAATGCCTATAACTCTTCATCAATAGATCATGAGGTCTGATCTTTTTAAGCTTGTATTAGCCTTACGAGAATCTACTCGTAGCCATATTATGGAATTCAAAGACATCCGACAGTTGAATATATTTCCTCGTGAATAACAAAGTAAAGCAAAAGTTTGAGTGATTAAGCTGAAACCTATCTACTATTTTTTATGGTTTCGACTGTTACTGACAGTTTCACTTCAAAATATTTCTGATTTCTCATTACGCTGAAATAGCTCGACAACGTCCTTGTTCTTTGAGGTCGCGCGACATCAATGCATATAATAGATCGAAAAAGAAAGGTGTCAAATTTATTTCAGTCAAAGATACATATTAGTACATGCACACGCCGTTTGATATGTTCTGTTCAATTATAGAAACAAAACAGTAGGTCTGAAGATTTGTCTATTAGTTGGCAGAGGGATCTGGAACATTATGATGATCGAGTTCTTTTTTCATTTGAAGTAATAAACAGGGACTGCAACATGTTGCCAAACAATCTTCGATGAGTGAGCCCTGTGTAATTATGAGAATGTCGATGCGTACAAGAAAAAGACAGAGACTTACTCGAATGCAATAGGCCATACGGATCTTTGTTCGCAGTGCTAGCGTTGCACCGGGAAATAGGCAGGAACAAAAATGCTCACCAGCGCGCCCATGCAACAGACCCGCACAGCAGCATCCACAGATGCAATATATAATGCCTGCAATGAGATAGGTACAGTTTCGAAAAAAAACACAACTACCATAGTTACCATCTTTAATTGGACTGCACGACTCGAAATATTTAGTACTCCAATCTGTGTTGAACGGATTGAGCTTGGCGTCGGTGCCGGGTTGAGCAGTGATGGCATTGCTAGTAAAAAAAAAAGAAAATATTATCGTTCATAATAGCTATACAAAAATTCAAAATAGTCACTCTATACGCTTTATTGTTTTATCACATTATAAGAAAACAAGCATATAGAGCTTATGACAACGGCATGTATCTTAATAAGGTTTATGATAATTTGATGTAGGATTCATGAGGCTAATAAGTCCTTCCGAAGAATTTATTATTCTTTTTTCTTTTTACAGTTTAAAAAACCTATATCTCAAATTTAAAAAGTCGAGTTCCAAAATGTTCTATACAGTCATATAGCACATCTCTGATTAATTGCCACTGGAAAAACGAGAATCAGACGTCGACTGAGTGAGAGCCCTATTGGTAAGCAATTTTGACATTATTTGAGGAAAATATGAAGAAGAGCATCAAATATGCTTCCTTTGCACTATCTGATTACAAATTGATGTAAGACTTTATGTAGAACATTGTAGACCGATAAATGACCTGAGGGAAAAGTTTATTTCCTCTCGGCGAACAGAAAGACTGCTAGAAGTGCTGCTAACAGATCAGAAATGGTCTCATTTTTTCATGGTTTTCTTTTAGTTTAAAACGCTTAAGGCCCCGCCCCCTCCCCCTCGCCACTCAAAAAAAGTCAATTTTCGTCAAAAATTTCGAAATTGAGATAAATGCATGGGAAGATAGCCCGTCTTCAGATACTCCAAAAACGACATTGGTTTTTCTTTGGCATCTCTTTTTTGGCCAAGATTTTCGATGAATTTCATTGACCTCTTCTTGAAAAATATGCTTATTTTTAAAAAAACGAAAAATGTTTTTCGTTTTTGCTCGATTTATGATTTTTTGATTTTGAGGCAAGAAATTCTCAGTCCCGGCTCGGGCAATATATTTAATTTTTTTTTGTTTGAAAGAGTGCGTCGAGATGCAGGTCACCACAGTCTTTTTTTAATTAAGCTTTGTTTTTTATTATATATACAGACACTTATGTGACTGGACACCCATTTTTGGCGCGTTTTTTGAGTCATTGGACTTGTGATCTCCTTTCTCCGCTAAAAAAGTAAGAATCTTAAAAAAAGGGCTCTGTGGTGCCCTGCATCCTGACATGCTCTTTCTAAAAAAAAAATTAAAATATGCTAACAGAGTCTGGACCGAGAAATCCTTGTACCGAAATGAGCAATTTTTGACCCTTTTTTGGTTCATATCTCTGTCAAACATCAGGATATTGAGCTGAAAATTTTATCACAGCCTTCCCACATCAGCCCCAACATATGCTCCAAATTTCAGCTCATTTGAACGTACCTGGGCTGAGATCCATTTTCGAGTGGGGGAGAGGCCTTAAGAGTTGATAAACACTAACATCCAAAGGTGTTTTTTGAATAGGTACTTTTCATTTGTACGAAAACATGACTGAAAGTTGGAACCCCAAGGTAAATGTGTATATAGCAATCAAAATTATGTTCCGGTTCGCTATAATTTTGCAAAGAAATAAAAAAAACTACAATTTACTGCACCATATGCAATATGCTTATGAAAATCGATCATTCTCAAGGAAGCACTAGAAGTATAAAACCTTCGTGTTAGCATTTTACTAGTCTTGAAGAATTCTATTAGCGAGAGAAGATCACTTGAGAAGGTTCCATCATAAGTTTGATTATGTAAAAATACTATAATAGTTGTTACAATCTTTCATTCGATACTTACGTGATTGAACTGAGTTTCAGCGACATTTTGTAGGCACGGAGCAAGTACTTAGACTGTTTGACGTCGATGCTGTGTGTAGATAGCTAAGATGACCTTGGCTGTATATATTCCAATTGATTGATATTGTTGGGCTGACAATACTTTGCGTGAAATCGTCTATATAAAATCGAATCGTTAAAAGATTGTATAGGGTAAATATTGATCCAAGCGATTATTTGTTCACACAAAATCACATATTTTGCCGGGGCCGATGAAATGGCTTTGTCATTTGACTCCTGAGTCAGATTCTAAAGTATTGATACTCTATCTAAGCACTATTCCTGTGTCATCGATGATGAAGTCAATGATCTTGGTGCCACACGACTAAAGAACTACTGCACTACTAATACTTACCGATTGCGTCTATTACTTATCGAAATTAACTTCCGCTCATGAATTGTAAAACATAAGAAATTGAGAGCTGACACTTAGATAGCAGTTTCTGTAATCATACGAACGAATAAGAAAAGCATTAACGCACACACGCACACATATACACACACATAATCATAAATATTGCGATAAGAATATGCGAGTATTATATTTTTAGCATTTTTACAAGAGAAAAATCCCATTATTTGCTTTTTTTGCCTGTAGTCACTCGATGTTCAATTGTGTCGCTGTGTTTTGTCAAAGCGATAGATATCAAGTATGCATACATACTCAAATGTCATTCTCTCAAAATAAATTTTATGGGATACCGTTACGAAAACTTTAACTTCTCTGCCTACAGAAAGAAGGAGAAAAATACTTCCATTAAACCCCTCCCCATATTAGAAGCCCCCCTGGGCTTCTAAAGTGTCCAGCATACAAATTTTTTGGAGGGGGCTTCTATTATGTCCTATGATTTTTCGAAGGTTTTAGGTACTAAAGTTTTTCAAAAGCCTTAATAGGATTTTCAGGGTTTTTTACAGATTTTTGAGGGTTTTGAAGGAGTTTTGAGATTTTAATACGGTTAACTAAGAATTTAACGCATTTTTACCTTAAAATTTTGTAATTTTTTAAGTTTTGCTGTGAAAATACTAAAAAATGTTTTCAAAAAACTCTCAAAAAGTTTTTAAAATAAGGGGCTTCTAATATGTCTGGCATATCGAATCCTCCAGAGGGGGCTTCTAATACGGGGGGGGGGGGGCTTCTAATATGGGATGGGCTTCTATTATGGGGAGGGGTTTACGCATGATGGTATTTAAATATCTCTCTAGGTTCTCTTGCGAGAAAGTAGATATCTGTGCTGGAATGACAACGAAAACTAAGATATTCAAAGTTTAATGGTGTAACTGATGAAAGTTAAATTAAGGTATTAGTGGAAGAAAGATGTTTTGTTCGTCTATATTCAACGTGCCTAAATTAAATTACAAAAGAAAATATCGAAGTGTTGTAATACACGCAGTAGGTGTGGGTATAGGTCTTCTGTTCAACTGGTGGAATACATCAACACCACACTCACATGCATACCCACCCCCGACCCCACTCCCAATTGTTTAATGACCACAGGTGTACTTTTCTTAACCTTTTCTGCGAAATGAAGTTCTAATTTTCCCTTGATAAGAAAAAGACATAAACGAACGGTTGTCGCCATTATTTAAAATATTTATATATATGCTTGTATTCGGCGTGATCGCCGTTAGAGCCCTGCAGAGTATAGGTAGCCTGCCCTGCCCCGTCAGGTAGGGCAGGGCAGGGCAGGGCCAGGTTACGAAAATTTTTACAAGGCAGGTTGCAGGGTACGAGTATCGTAATCTGTCAACCTGTGACTAGTTTTATGCGTTAGATATTATAGATATCTTGTCTAAAATTATACACTAAGAAAAAAAATAGAAGTGAAAGTGAACTGGAAAATCAATTTAGATTAGTCGCAAAGATACTCAATAGAAGCAGATATGTCAGTAACCTATCCATTATATATTGTGTAGCTACTCAAGTGTGCATTTAGTTTTTTTATTTTGAGTTTTATCTTGTTCTTTTCTTTATTATCATCATTAACTAAGCTCTCGAATATCATCATCGATATCAGTTAGATTTTCCTGCTAGTGAAATATCAACTATGCCTAATTCAAAAAAAGATATGAAACGAAAAAAGAAGCAGATGATAGAAAAACTTAAAACTGGCGAATTTATAGCTACAGTACAATCGCCATCATCATCTTATGGTTCATTTTTGGAACATTTATTACATATAAAATGTTTCAATAATGGGTATCAACCGATCGTACAATGTCGATTGTTCTATGAGATATTATTATATTCCATATAAAATGAAACTTCTACTATTAGCTATCATTTTAAAAATTGTTTAGATGAATCAAATACACTAAGAAACAACAAATCTCTTAATAGGGTGTGGGTATGCGAAGAGAAGGTTCATACCTCACACCACACCCACATCGGAGTATGTTTTTAGCTCATCAGGTCGAGTATTAGAAAAAAAGAAGGCAGTTTTTAAATCTAGATATTGTTGATGATATTTTGATGATTAGAAATTTTCGAGATATATAATGTTGTTTGGTTTTGCTTTATGGTTGTAACAAATCGAAATGAAATTTAATAATAAATTGATACGAAAGTTTCAAATTTTCTTCGGTTTTAAAGAGAACAGGACAGGGCAGGGCAGGTTAAAGGTTATGAAATAAATTCACAGGAGAGAGCAGGGCAGGGTCAGGTTGTCAAAATCTCAGCAGGGCAGGTTACAGGTTGTCAAAATAGCGTAACCTGCAGCCCTCTATCTCCGCGCTACAGTTATTCGGTCACGGCTATGACTGCTGATAGGCTTTATTTTTAAGAAATTCGTGATCATGACTGGGCTTTATCCATGGAGAATCATGAACGTTAATAGAGTAGCCATACATTCTATACTTGTAGTAACTGATGAAATGTTCTACAACACAAATTACCTGATTCTTCGCATACTTACAATACATTCATTAAGTTAGCAAAACCTCAAACATTTTCAAAATTTTATCAATCGTTGAACAACTTTAGAAGTTCAAGAAAATACTTGATTTTTCTGTCAAGTAAAAATTCAATTCGATTTTCTAAAAAATCATTTTTCACAAAGGAATGACAAAGTCAACAATAATTTTTTTAAAGATGTTCGAAAACTAATTCTGATTTTATAGAAAATGAACATAGATTCCACAAAAAAATCAAAAATTAAAGCAAATTTTTAGAATATTACTTGAACAGTGGCCACTCTAGAGTTATTGTTGAAATATGTATATAAGTCGGCCGACAGTGTTGTGGACAGGACTGCCAAATCTTCTGATTTAACCAGGAGTCTCGTGGTTTTTAGAGCTTCCTCCTGATGAGAAAATCTTCTGGTATCAGGAGCTGGTTTTTAGCACATTCTCCTGGTTTCTCCTGATTTTGAGACTTTATACCTTTGATTTTAGTAACAGTTTGAATAAAAGGACAAAAAAAAAGAAAAAGAGAACAATGACCACAGTATTAGATAGATTCAGGTACCAATCAGATAAAACGTTGTTCTCACTTGATTTTTGTGATAATTAGAGAATGAATTTCGTAAGCGAATTTTGTAGCACTAACTTATGTACTTTTAGCTAAAAAGAAAGGATCATTGTGTATGTTTTTGGATGTTTTCATCACTAAAATGTGAGATCAGTTTGGTGTCAAATTCATTAGCGATCAATTTTTTGCCACGTTCTTATCTATTTTAAAGGAAACTTTTTCTATTTTGTTCATATAGTTTAATGATTGAGTATAAAATAAATAGTAATATAAAGTACATATAATAATCTTTCTTTTTTTTCTTACAAGCCATTTACAATAGCAGTGTTTGTGTGGGTAGTTAATAAGATTAGATATATTTAGGTCAAACTAAAGATCTCATTACCAAACTAACAAATCCAAAATATGAGCTATTGTTGACGTCCTTCGACAGAAAATATTTGAATTTTAAGATATTTAAGTCTATTTAAGGTCCTCACAGTTCAAAATCTTAGTACAATTTATTATTGCTTTTCTTAATGATTGGATAGAGCTTGTCGAGTTTTATTAGAAACTATTTGTTTCAAATTAGAAAAAAATTTACGAAACTAGAAAAGTTGTATCTAGCGATCAAGAAAAAATAATGATCAATTGTACTGAAACTTTGAATTATGAGCACTTTGAATAACTGTAAATACCTTAAACTTCGGATATCTCCATCAGGATGCGCCAACAACAGCTCATGCTTTAGATTTATTAGTTTGGAGATGAGATCTTTAATTTAACTCGATTATATCTAATCTCAGTAATTTGCAAGACAAAAAAGCTCCATTGTCAGAGAAAGATTTTGTTATCACCGGCAACAAGGAGTAAAGAAGCATTTTGATGAACGAAAAATTTTGATTTACTATAAGATCATAAAACAGCTTTTTCATCTCAATAAAAATCTCCTGAATTTTCTACTGGTTTTTGGTAAAGAGCCTCCTGGTGAACTCCTGACATTTTTGCAAGGAACTTCTGGTTTTTGAAATTTCGATTTGGCAGCCCTATTTGTGAATTTAATATTTTCTTCGGCAGCTGCAGTGTGAATTGACTCATCTTGCGTGAACAGGTACAAACAACTACCGCTTTGTTTTCTAATGTCTCAGAAGAATAATAGGAAAAAAAAAATTTTCTATAAATAAACTCTACGTTGTATCTCTCTTAGAATGTTCTTGTATTTAAAATTGAGTACCACATGCATTTTGGCATAATACTTTTCCAATTGAAATGTGTCAGGGAGGTCATTCTAATCGTCATTTAAATAATAGCATGAATTGAATGTAGTCATATTACACATGCTTTTTTGAGTGAAAAACAGTGATTGTATACAATTACGTTGGTAGTCCATCTGATCAGATAGACAAATCTATCGGATAAGCGAGCATATGAAGAAGAGAAATTTTATTGAGCAAAACAGATAATAGAGAGATAAATAAATAGCGAAGGAAAGGAAAGGATTTATCAAAATGGTTATCCATGCATACATATGACGAACAAAAAAGGAAAACATCATTCATAAGAAGTGTCCTAGAAGTTCTGAAGTGATTTTAAAATTTATTATTGTCATAGTCAACAAAAACAAACTCTTTGAAATTTTGGCAGACTATTTTACCTACTTAGTACTAAATAACTACAAAAATTTGACGTCTATAGCTTGTATTATGGATGAGACTCAATAACAACATGATCATGTACAATTTTTAAAATGTTTCCTATCATGTTGGTTATCGTTTTCAAAACTATACAACTTTTCGAAAAAAAAAGAAACATTTATCAAATGATGAATATTCTTATAGTTTATGGTCGTCCTAATCTACTAGGAATTTGAATCATGCTGGGATTTTATATATCATTCGTTAACACAAAGAAACACTAAATTTGTTTCATTCCTTTTCAATTTCGTTTTTCAATCATTCAATATTATGGTATTCTCGTCTTCGTAGTTTTCCTTTTATTGTATTCCAGATGTTTCTTATAGACTAAACGTCAACTAGTTTTGCAGCGCAATTGTTTCGCTCAATTCAATGATAAAAACATGTTCCAAGATATAAAGTCAAGAGCATCCATTGTTTAGAATATTGATTCTTCTGAAAAATTAGATCTCGTAAATTACCTAATTCTTTGGCTTCTTTTCTGCTATCATACTTAGCATGACTTTTGTATATCTATCACTAGTTAAACTCCTTGATTAACATGTGCATGGAAATCATACATTCGTGAAGGAAAACTTGGTTCTTTTTGTTTTGCTACGTGTGTATAAAAGAGACGCTAGGAATAATATTTGTTTCGCTACTTATATCGACTTTTATCAATTTAATTTACCGAAAAATTGAAGAAGTGTAGTACATGATAGTGTTGTTACAGAGTGTCATTCATAGTACAAGCTATAGACCTCAAATTTTGTAACTATTTAGTACTAAGTAGGTAAAATAATCTGTCAAAATTTCAAAGAGTTGGTTTTTGTTGAACATGAAACCGATAAATTTTAAAATCGCTTCAGAACTTCTTGGACACGTCTTATAAATTCGCTATTGACTTTCTAATTAGAAAATCAAAACTTGATTTTCCAATTCTTTTTTAAATATCACATTTCTAACAAAGTGCAAAAATCAGTGATGGATTCCTATGGGCAGTTCTAAAATATTCTTTCATTTTTAATCTCTAATGAATTTTCTACTTTACAGCGTAGAAAGATTCAAGTGTCATTATAATAATAGCATGATAAACGTAATGCTGTAGCACAGAAGTACTCCTGTCATCTTTCATTTCTACTTCTTTTCTGCAAGTCATGCAAGTTGTCGTAATACAATGTCAATCATTAAGATTAGAGAATAAACACACTCACTCTATGTTTTTTTTAATGTTCCGTCGACAAGTATGATGAAAGTCAATTTGTTGAAATTCTTTAATGCTTATCTCAGTCAACTCATGCGCTTATAATACTTCTTTGCTTAGACGAGTCAAATCTACGTTCTCGCCGTGTTTCATGGTGATGCTTACCAGCTTTTGCATAAAACAAAAGCCTTTAATAATATTTATATAATCCGAGAAAAAAAATTTTCTCATGTTTACAACAAAATTCAAAAAACACAAAAACGTCCTACGTCATTGATAACGACAGGTAATTAGCAAAAGTATTTCAGAATAACGATGATTATGATTATTTTTCATATCAACCTATTTAAATTATAGAATACTATTCATTAGAAACAAACTGGTATCTGACGAGTCCAAACTCTAGATAGTACGATACGAGTCAATTTTTCAAGAATCGATCTAACCTGATCTGAAGTCAAACATACTTCTTGATGAATTTGTACAAGGTTTTCCAAAATGCAAAGATAGCAAAATCATTACCTCTGTTAGTTATTCTTTTTTTCCTCTTTCATCCTAAACAATAACAATCATAACATATATATTCATGCATGACTAAGAGAGAGCAAATAGTATGCTGTGTTTTTAGTGAAAGGACATATTCGTCGAATAGTACTTTATTGGCAGTGTTTCGTCGAAAAAGAATTATTTTGCTCTTCTCATTTTCTCCTCATCGAAACAGAAGTTTAGAGTGAAGATGTGGTGTAGTATGAAGATGAGGGTCTGAAAATGTGAGTTTAGGAATTCATTTCATTCAAACTCTCACATTCTGATGCTTAACCTAGCCCTTACATCCCACAAAATTGTTAGGTCAGACATTACTCTTTCCAACAACGGCGTCTTTCTGTTTATTCAGAACATCAATATACGATTTAATACAGATTAACATTTTTTTTCAAAGAGTTGCATCACATTTTATGACATGTGAGTGCAGAAAATGTTGACTTCTTCGAGGTAATTACATATTTCACTTATCAACTAAATTCCGCTCCACGACATTATAATAGATATCTTTAAACTATTAATTAATTCCTCGGATTTTCTCATGTTATAACTAGATGACGTAGTCACAATTAGCAGGATTAATCTGTCACAACCATAATATTGTAAGTTAGAAATAAATTTCTACAGAAATCATAACTAAGGATGTTGGTTTCACACACAAGTAAATCCTATTCGTATACAAAAACAAGTATTATTCTTATTTAAATCCAACTTTTTTTTTATATGGATATCTCATTGTAGAGTTGTCAACACTTTTAGATGAAACATCTTTTTGTATCTTATACTAAGGAGATGACTGACACCAAGAGTTGTCCAATTTTCATTTTGACATAAGAGATTTCAACAGAGGTAGTAATTAAGAATTGTACAAAATATCTTGATGATCAATTTCAATTCTGTTATTGATATTATTCATATGCAAATCTTAATTGTTATTTGTTTAATCAACTTACTATTTCGGTTTTCTATGGCGCTAGACAAATGAGAAGCACAAAAAAAATGACTGAAATCCTAGTTTATGAACTAACTCATTTGTTTCCATCGCTACTTTTTCTTATAGATATTTTCTAATATTGTATTTTTTTCGCATCTCGCATTGAGGTTATATATCATTGTGTTTTAATTAATCAATAACTTGTATTAATGTCTATTCAATCGATTCGTACAAGTTTGCTAACTTTTCAAAAGTTAAAATGCCATAAAATGTCGATGCATCGTCTCGTTGCTCATTTACATATTGATTATTATTCAAAAGCACCTTAAAATCTTTTCAAATCAGTACGACTTCCATTTTTCTTCGCAATAAGGAAATCATCAACTTCTATATTTAATCTATTCAAATTTTGAAGTCTCTGAAAGATCTAATTCATTGAGTGTTTCTTTTCTTATTAAAAAGAAAAAGTTTTCCAACATGTAGATATTTAATCACATATAATTTTCTAATTCAGTTTAAAAAACAACCACAACATAAAAATTGTCGTTGAGTCATTTTCCACTCTTTCTATTTGTAATTTACGTTAATTCATAGATATGAATACAGAAGAAGAAACAAACGAATTAACCAATATTTTTATAACGACGAATTTCTGTTGGTTTGCTTAGAAGCTGACGAAGTTCTGCAGTAGCTTTATTAATAACTTCGCTTGTTAAATGTTGATCAAGTGCTTGTTCAGTAGACCATGCTTGAAGAAGTGTTATCTGTGATGGATCATTTACATTTTCACATAATTCATATTTTAAACATGTTCGTTCTTTTTTTGCTTCAGCTATTGTATCATATAAAATTTTTTTTGCATCTTGAGCTTTATCAGCGATTGGCCAAAGATCAACAACAACATAAATGATGTCTTTTCTCGTATTTGTCATCTGGAATAAAAATATTGATTAATTCATTCAAGAATTTAGAGTTTAACCCGTCTTGCTATCGAACAATATGATAATCCTTACCGTATTATTTTGTTACTCAGATTTCTCACTCTGACATTAACTCTGCAAGTGTGGGGCATACTTCTCTCTTCAAAAGATAAAACGTTTTTTCTTTTCAGAAAAAAAAGTAGCAAGATGCTTCTTTTTTTTTCTTTTATGACAAGTACTTCAAGAGAAAAGAAAAATGACTACTATGACAACAAACTGAGTTATTCATAATATAAAAAAAAAAAAAGAAAAAATCTTATGTTAAAGAACTGGAAAAAAAAGAATGTCCTTATTCTTTATATTATCTTATTTTCCATACTAATTTTGTCATCCTTGTTAATTGCCTATCAAAAACGTTGTTAAGATAATAAAAGAGAAAAACATAGACGGTTTATTGTCAAGTACATTTCATCACTGGCATCATATACGTGAAACACTTCGTTGACTGATTACCTGCATCATTTTATTGATCTATATTACATTCTTACTTTTTATCATGTCTAAATCTTCTATTCATTGCATAGTGGATATATATGTTAAACCAGAAGCATTAGAAAAAGTACGTGCTATATTATTAAAAATTGTAGAAGATTCACGTGCAGAAGATGGTTGTATGGAATATAACTTATTTGAAAATATTAGTGATCGATTTCAATTTACATTTATTGAAGTATGGGAGACGGAAGATGCATTTGAAGATCATTTACAATCTGATCATATTCGACAAGCAAGTGTTAATGTGAACGAAGATTTAACAAAAACGCCTGATATAAAACGTTACAAAAAGATACAAGTAGCTTCAAGAAAAAAGATTGCTAGTAAAACCAGTCGTTTTTGTACATTAATTTAATTATTAAAAATGGAATGTATATAGTGTTCTTTTTTTGTGTACTAGATAAACATCATTAATACAATAAAATTTATTAAGAAAAAATAAAAATAAACAAATATTAAATTTTTTGTGATTACAATTATATTGCATTGCAATCATTTCTCTTTCCTTCTATTTAATAAATATGTGTGATAATTATTTTCAAACTATTTTATAAATGAGGAAGAAATAAAAAATTAATAATCTATTATTTATAATTTGTCTTTTCTCTTCAAACATGCCTTTATTCTAATAAATACGAAGTAAAAAGTTACAAAATTTTATCTAATAGACGACACATCAAAGACAATAAAGACGATACTCGTTTTAAATAGATTTTAGTTCGAAAGAAGTAATAAGTAAAATACGAAAAAATCTCTTCTTTCTAATTTATTTTCGAATGTCATGATGTCATTTGTGAAGGTTTGTCTTTTTTTATTTTAGAATAGTCTTTTTATTTAATTAGAATAAAATGTTTATTGAAGTGTATTGCATAAAAATATACTTGATTTAACTGTAAGTATAACTGTTAAAGGAGGATGTGACTAAAAAAATTGCGTTGTTCATTATGTTAAACTAATGATCGACGTATATTCTTGTCTTGATAAGAAGATTGAAATTATCTTTAACATGAACAGATTGTTTTCATTTCTTTTTTTATTTAATTTATTATAAATAATTAATTAACAAATATACGACTATGTTTCATATCTTGACAACATATTTCTTGTCACATGAATTAACAACACATGACAATTAGATAAAAGTAAAAGAAAAATTAGAATAATTAAATCAGACTATCTTCTTCCTTTTTTTGGATGTTCTTTGATCGTAGTGCAAAAAAAAAGATCCATATATCTATCTATCTATTCATCACTATAACCCTCTTGTTTTTTCATATTACTACTAAAGAATGGCTAAAAAAGAAAAGAATAAGAAAATAAGTCAGACTAGTTTCTTCTATTCTTATTTTTTTACTTTCATATTATCGTTTATGAAGTTACTTATTCTAAATTTCATGTTTGAAGAAGTAGTCATTCGAGAAATAATGTGTCACCCTGTTTTCTAATGAATTATTCATGGTAGATTATATATAAGAACAGAATTTCTTACTGGTAAACAGAAAAGAAACATTAATGATGTTGATTAGACAATCTAATACTAATATAGAAATAAAACAAAGAAACATATTCGACAATTCTATTAAATTAAACATTGATATTATCAATAAAGATTTTATTTAAAAACAAGAAAATATTTTTAACATTCTCACATGCTTTATTTATTGATAAAGATTATTTCAAGAATAAATACTTTAATAATATTAAAACCGATGTAAGGCAAGCTTAACAAAATGAATAATGTAGAACATCAATAATTTTATGAAAAACGTCATAGAATATGTATCTTATATAGATGATTTTATTTAACTTAATACGACATAGATTCATTTACACATGCTATTAATCCTGATATACTATCATGCTCAAGTATATTACTGAGTATACCAAAAGATTTGCGACATTTTTTATTTTGCACGTAACTCTGCTCAGACATATGATAAAATATTCATCTTTTTTTTCAGAAAATGCGTCATTGAATGTTTTGCTCAGATCTTAATAGACTACTAATACTGAACACTGGTATCATAGTGTTATTTCCTATGAGGAAAAATAAGAGAAAGCCGAAAATTGTTAAATTTTGGTTTTGATAATTATGATTCATTCATTTTGGCTACTACGTTTGGAACCAATCAAAGATCTAATGTAGCTTTCAAAGCATGAAGATTATTACTTATCCTCATATCAAATGCAGGAAAAAGAAGAACGTCCGTATCAATTGATCTAGATGTTTCGTTCTGAAACAAAACTTTTTTTGTTGTATCACTTTGAAAAAAAAATCATCTAAAAGCAATGAGCTCGATATCCAAATCGCTAGATTTAACTTTCTCGACTGTTGAAAGAAATAGTAAAACAAAACTCAAGTTTAACAGAAGAATATGTTGAGAAGAAATCCGTATTCATTATGTAGGAAATATTGATGGAATGATAAACATTTTGGTTTCTTTACTATACTTGAGACAGTCCATTTCATCTAATATTTATTTGATTAAAAATGATCTTAATTATCAATCACAAAATAGACTTTTTCGATTTTTTTCTGTAGAAAATAACATGATGACACACATGTTCAGTGCTAGGAATCTATTAAAATTTCGAAAACAGTTATAAAGATCTGAGTAGAACATTCAAAGGTGTAACTTTTCAAAAACAAAAAAAAAGATCAAAGTTTTATCATATTCTTGAATTGAGCTACATGCAAAACAAAAAATGTCACACAACTTTTGCCACATCCGACATATGTCAGCTTTTATTAAACAATTCTATTAAAATGAATATATCACATTTTCTTGTTTGACTCGATTGTATATGATTCTTTGTAAATCCAAATTTCTTTATATAACAGTACACACGAATAAATCTCTCATTACAGAACAATCGATGTATCGCCATTACACTCCAATGATCATTACTTTATATTGTATTTGACTAATCAATAATGAATAACAAAAAATACGAACAATTTTCTTCGCACAATACTATTAGAATTGTTTCTTTTTGTTTCGATATGCTAATGAATAAGACTGGCTTGAGGTAGCCAACATTGAGGGAGAAACACGATTTGTTTTTAAGAGAACGCATGAAAAATCTTTTGTTCCACTAGCAAAAAATAAAAAGTTTCCTTGACTAAGATGTGTCACAGGCACTCTGTTCTTGTCGGATCATTCTGCTAATGAATACACTTCGATATTTGAATACTACTATAGGATACCTCTTAACATCAGACACAGTTCGTACCCTGATATAATGTAGCGTGTTAATCACACTAATAAAATGCTAGCGGTGTATTCAAAGCGAATTAGAATATAATAAAATACTATGAATAGCACAAATAACATGCTTAATATTATGGGTACTTGTTGAAGTTTGATATAAATCTATCAAAAAAGAATTCATTTCAAATTTTAATTGAGTTTTTTTCTATAGCACATCTTGTAGATAATATTGAATTTATACAACCGCAATAACCTCAAATATGTGTATATGTCATGCATAAAATTTTGTTGTTTCATCTGTATTTTTTTCCTGTTGAATTATCAAAATTTAAAAACAATTGGTTAATCTATATATCCAATAAAAAACATTCAATTAAACCTCTATCATGAATAATTATAAGCAAATGTTTAGTTTGACTTAAAAAATCTTCGTTTTAACAAATAAACTTCTTTTATTTTTTATTCCATTCAAATTGATTATGTTTTATTAAATATCCAATCAAAATAAAATCTTAATCTATTCCATACAATCAATCTTTATCACAAATACACACACATACACACACATATATATATATATATATACATACATACACTGTTGTCATTTCAGAAGAATGACTGCTGTATAATTAAATAGGAAAATTTCGACAATGGTTAGCATTGCACATTGGCTTGATACATTTACATGTAGTAAATATGCCGATCGTTTTGAACGATCTGGTTTACAAAATCTTCAGTCGGTAAGATATTATTATTAATTTAAGAATAATTACGTTTTTGTTTTAATCAATTATTATCTATATACATATAGGTATATCATTTAACTACTGCTCAATTACAAACATTAGGCATTGCAAACAATGATATATGTACAATCATGGAAAATGTGTTACTTTTGCAACAAAGTGTCAAAAGTTTGTTTTGATAAAAAAAAAAAAAAAAACGATATTGTTTTTTTGTAACTATACAATGTATCTTTTTTTTTGTCTAACAACAGGCTTAAATAATCCACCACGATATCTTGATCTTAATTCAGAACCACCACCAACAACAGTCCGTTCTCGTACAGGTTGGTATCTATCATAGAATTTGATAGTTTCTTTATTGCTTAATATTTTAACCAGCTAGTCCTGCAATAAATACATTTAATCGAACAATGAGTCAAAATCCAACTGCTTATTCTCCTGGACCTAATGTTAGTACACCACCAGCAAGTAGTGGTCCATCACCAGATCGTGGTCTTCCTGGTCCATCACCATTTGATACACCATCAGTATATCATCGTTCAAATTCTTTTCCAAATCCAGTTAATCCAAATACATTTTTTGATATAAGTCCATCATCATCAACATCATCACCACATCGTTCAACATCAATTGATACATTACCTCCACAAATGGAAGGTGCACCATTCAATGATTATCTTCCTCAACCATCACCTCATCAATTTCAACCACCAGGAATGATCTATCGTCCTAGTAATAATCCAGCTGGAAGTTATTATAATCCACCTCCACCACGTTTTTATCCTCCTGATCAACAACAACAACAACAATTTATGTATCCAAATCAACGAATGATGATGCATCCACAACAACTTCTACCATGGGGTGGACATCGACCACCATTACCACCACCACCATCACATCCAATGCATTATCATCCATATGAACATCATCAGTTTCGTATAGCACAATCACAACAATTTTGTCATCCGAATCATCCAATAATGTCAGATCAAAATGCAATGTTTATTAATCAACAACAACAACAAAATATGAATTCATCAACATCTAATAAATTATCTACAACAGTTGAACCACATCCACATCCATTACAATCACTTGAAAGACTTGTACTTTTACCTGAGTCTCAAGTAATCAATACTTTTCTTTTTTACTTTCTCTCTCTTTTTAAACTATCTTTTTTTTTTGAATAGGTTATCGATCCAAAAAGTGTTGTCAATGAAATTCATGATCCTCAATCACCATTTAGTGAATCATTATCACCCTATGGCACATTATCACCAAAAAATTCTGTTTCAACACCACCGACAGCAACAATTGTTAGTAATTTACTTACAAATGAAAAATCTATTATTGAACAACATAATAAATCTACAACTGGTTTAAAACGTAGTTCAACACATGATGAACGAAATGATTTAAATAAAAAAAATCGACTTAATACAACTAATGATTTAACAACAGGTGATTCAATTATAAATAATCATCCTGTTGTAACTAGTTTATTAACAAGGGGTTTAAATAATTCAACATCACAAGCACCATTGCCATCTATTAAATCATTACAACAAAAACATAATCCATCTTTTATTCAACAACAACAGCAACAACAACAACGACAACAAATGATGTTTCAACAAAATCAACCTGATCCACAACAATTTGTTGATGGATTAATTAATGAAATAGTTGATGATAAAATAGAAATTTTTGAGCAAGATTATGAACAATTAATAACTAACCTGCGATTGACAATGGATACAACTTCTAAACAGAATAAATTATTAAAGTAATTTCATCGAATTATTAAATTCTGTTTTTTTTTTCTTCGATAATTTGTCATTAATTAAAAATAAGAAGTATTATAAAAACAAAATAATGAGATTTCATTCAATAGGAAAAGTTATAATGTCGAAATGATTTCAACATTCTTATTAAATAAATACAATGAATTAAAATTTCATCTAGGATATTTGTATAGTATTAATTACGTAAAAATATTTTTTTCACGGAAGGACAAGACTCTCTGTTCACTTATTACATAAGATAAGCTTTATATTAACAAAAAAAATCCTGTCAACAGCGAGATTTAATAGTATTAATTAAATAAACTTTTTAGAGGAAATTTAGACTCCATGACTTAGCGAGTATGATTTCTATAAGAGAGAAAATGCTCTTCGTGATAATAAAGAATGATAATAAGATTATTATCTTGCTTAGTAATGCGCTCGTGAGCTAATAGCAGATGAACTTAAGTTAATTGTATGCGTTCTTTTTATAAAATTTACTTTGCATATCAAAAAAAGAAGAAAAGTAGATCATATAGACATAGTACAAGATAGAGCGTATTGAGTTGATTCCGAATCAGAAAATTTTGGATCCAATAGGTTTTAGGCATCTGAGAAATGTGTAGGATGCACTAGTGACCAAATACAAAAAAAAATTAGAAAAAACCTATTTCGTAACTTCTGGGCGGATTATCAAAATCCGATTAGAAAGTATTCATTGAGAGTATCAAAGTACAGTTCGACAAACTATAGTCTTTGTTAATGAAAACAAAAACAATAACTACAAATTATTTCTAATTAAAATTCTTATTTCATTTAGTTCAAATACAATACAAATTCCATTACAATTAGATGGTGTATCTGATCCAACAGAAGTTACTTCAAAATCTCCTACTCGAACATTAAGAAATCGTGATTTATCAACATCATCTGAACGAGGAACTTCAAATAGTGAAAATCGAAGTTCATCTATAAGAAATAATTTAGATAAATCAAATAGTGATCCAACAGGTTCATCTCAAAATGGTACTGGAAAAAAACGTCATGATTCTCTAAATAATAATAACCATAATACATCATATAAACGACGTTTATCTGAAAATAATATTGAAATAAATTCTTCAATCAATGGTCATCATTCAAATTCTATATCATCAAATATTCAAAAACCAAAAGTTATTCAATCACCTACTCAATCAAATGTTGATCATGAAACAAGTTCATTATCAGAATCTATATCTTCAAAATTAACTACAAATAATTCATCAAATAAACCTATTCGTGAAGCCAAAAAACGTTCTTTAATTTATACAGGTAATACACGAGAATTTCTCGAAACAGCTATAGCAGCTGGTATAATTGATGATAATGGTGATGAAGAAGATGAAGATCATGAATATATACCACCAGGTGGTACAGTTACTTTACCTCTTCAACGTTCGTCATCATCATCGTCATCCGAAAATGAAGATGAATCAATTAAAAATAGTGATGATAGTGGTAGTAGTAGTAATAATGAGGATAAGGATGAGGATGAGGATGATGATGATGAAAAAAATAGTGGTGATGAAATGGTTGTAAATGAAGAACCAAGTGAAAGTGGAATTAATTGGAATGTACGAAATCGTCCTCAACGACAAACACATTTTATTCGTTTTGATAATATATCACAACAAGATGGTAGAAAATTTGTATTTGAAATTTTCCTTTTCTAATTTTTTTCTTTTAAGAACAACAATTTTTTGGAGCATTACAAGAACAAGTTCCTGGATTAGCTGCTTATTTAGATGAAAATTCTGATGATGAATATGAAATTACAACACAAGATACATCTAATAATCAAACAAAATCTCGAAAATCATCAACAAAAAAATCTCAACGAAATTCAACTAAACAAAATTCTGAACAAGATCAACAAACAGTTGAAATAATGAAAAAATTTCGTCATGTTAATGTACCATCAGAAAAATCGACAAAGAAAAAATCTCATTCAAATGAATCAACAACAATATCAATTAAAAATCGTTCAGATGAATTATATGTTATTAATAATAACTCAACACGAACTATTATGTCAGGTGCACATCTTGATACGACAAGTAATACAAAAAAGAATTCAACTATTCAAGCATTTCATTTTCATCGACGACAAATTAAAATGAATACAGTTGAAGATACAAAAGCACAATGGCGATGTATTTTATGTTGGAAAGAACCATATGAAGAATATCTTGGTCCTTTATTTGGTCCATTTCAATTAAATGAACAATGTCGATTATATCTTAATAATAGTTAGTAATCGAGTGTATTTATTATGAATATTTTAAATATGATTTATGCTTTTTTTTTGTTTTTAGATAAACAATTAGCAAAACATTATAGAAAATTAATTGAAGTTTGGTTACATCGTGATTGTGCATTATGGAATAATCATATACAAATGAATCCAACAACAGGAGAACTTATGCATATTTCTGATGCATGTTCAACTTATCTTGATATTGTAAGTACATAAAGAAAGTTGTTAGTTGCAATCCTTGTAAGATTAAAATATGAAACACAATGTACTTGCGACATCTTCTTACTTAATCATTTAGAAATGTATTAAGGAAGTAGTTCTTTTATTATAATGAGACGTTAATCATATACAGTCTGGAATCGTATATTAGCAACATCTGTAATCAGCTGCTCCCCGACTTGTCAATGTTCCTTCTTTTTGATGTTTTTATTACAAAGCTCACCAATGACAGAATTCATCAAAATAGAATTTTATGATGTAGTTGTCTTTGATCATGATCTTAGGTCAAAGTGCCCTCATAGAATTCTATCGCATTCTACTGAATCTTGTTTAAAATTCACGAAAGCCCAGAATAGGATTGTGTGCTAGTCAATCTGACACTTTCCATCAGTCGAATCCGAATGAGGATATTGTGTCCTGTTTGTGATGCTACTAATTTCAAACATGATTCAACGAGTTTTCCAATTGGATCGAAGAATTGGATTATTTGTTTTGAAATAGCTATCTTTCATATATTCCTATTTCTTCAGCAGAACTGAAGTAAAATTCTAGTCTAATATCAGCATTTATATCTTTTATAGCAGTTCAATATTAGTATGTTTGAGATCATGTGAATAATTCTCCTTTGATAATTGAATGTTGAATTATTTTAGATTTGTATTTGGTCGTATTGAATATATACCATGACAATTTCATTGTTGTGTCTTGGAAGAGAATTGTTGAATCTCTCCAGAGAGAATTTTGTCTGCCCGATTCAGTATGCGGTATTATTCTATTTTGTGAATGAAATAATCAAATAATGATTAGTGAAAAATTCTCACGAGTATCTTGCTTCGTAATCTCTACACTAGAAATGCATATTTATCATTACCTCAAAAGTAACTGTCCTCACATTTTTCAGAATGTTTATGTTCCCTGTTAAAATCATTGGTTTCTCTTGAGAGTTCAATCTTCTTTCCATTAGGATACGGCGTATAAAATTGTGTTGGCGTTTCTTAAAACGCAAGATACTTTTACTCTTGAAATGAACTATGAGTATTCAGTCCCACTCCTAACACGTGCATGTCTGAGATACTACAATACTCTTTCTATGGCAAAGAAAACGGCATCCTCATTTCTTCCTCCTTTTTTCAGAGCCACTCTCTAAAAATTTTTTTGTTTTTGTATATCGTCATGTTTCTCAACTGACTGTTCACATGTCTGTCATGTCTAGGGATACACCAATATCGAGAACATGATGTCAAAAATGACATTTTGTTTTTTATTAAGAATGTAGTTTCTATGAAGTGCTAATATTACCCATGATCAATTTTTTTGTGCTATCTAAAGCTGTAGTCAAAATTCATGAAATACAATACAAAAGTTTCGGAGTTGATGTAAAGTTCGTATTTTTTAGTGTTTTTTTGACCTATTCCAACTGAGTTTCAGACATATGTTTTATATTAGAAAAAATCTAAGAATAACTTCGGAAAAATCGTTCAAAATGAATCACAATTGGTATGGAGAACTGTTAGGAGTCCAACAATTCTCAATACTATAAATATTCTTAACTCCGATTAGAAAAAGCAGAAATTGATTTATTCCTGCTTACAAAAACACTTACCCAGCATAGAGAATTACCGAGTTCCTAGTAAGTCTTGAAATCAGTTGGAACTGGTCAAAAAAATTAAATAATGCGAATGTTTTACTAATTCCGAAACCTTTATTTTGTATTTCATGAATTTTGACTACAGCTTCCGATAGAGCAAAATAAACTGATCATAGTTGATATAAACAATCTACAAGAACTACATTCTTAATCAGGACAACAATGTCATATTTGACATCATGTTCTAGAAATTGGTGCATTGTTAATCATGCCTGCAGGGAGTAGAGCCCGTTGGGTTCCAAATTTTTAGATTCGATTAACAGAAAAATTTCAGACCTAGAATCAACCCGATGAGTTCTAGTGGAATGGATCTAAATTTCTATCCCTTATACATATCAATACTCCTTTTAGATCTTGTTGTTTTTTAATCCTTCTATACATGTTTTTTTCTTGTTTTAGACATGTTCTACATGTCAAATACCTGGTGCAGCTCTTGCATGTCGTTATCGAAATTGTAAAATTCGTTATCATTATTCTTGTGCAAAAACAACTCGTATGACAAAAATCCTTGATAATTTATTATTGTTATTGCTATTGTTTTTCTTTAGTTAATTGTCGATTAATTGAAGAAAGTTATTCAGTTTATTGTCCAAAACATAATCAAGTAAAATAGATTAAAAAACAAACATATTTTTTTCTCTATAATAAATAATTATAAATTTCTATCATAGATAAATAATAATAAATCGAAAAAAAATCGTCGTAAAACAACGACAAGTGCAAATGATTCACAAGAATCATTAATAACTTAGTTTATTTATGTCTATCTATTTAAAATTAATGTGTATCTATGGTTCTTTTCTTTTTTCTTTTTCTTTTTGCTGTATGTTTGTTTTCGTGTTGAAAAGTTTTTGAAAACAAAAAAAAAATATCAAATAGAAAAACCCTTGAAGTTTAATGTATACATGAAAATTTTCTTTAAAAAAAATTTATATTGAAGATGGCAAATAATAATAAAAATCCTGATCCAAAAGAATCACCTCTTATTGAAGAACTCAGCTGGGGATTTATAAGAGTTAAAGGATTTCCTTCTGGCAAAGATTTCAAACTTTATCCTGGGGGTAAGATTCGATTGATATATATGAATGTATATTTAATTATGTACTTGATATTTAAGGTGCCGAGGAATGGGATTGGAATGAGACAAATACTCGTCATGTTCCAGGCATTCAACAAGCAGATGTCAAAGATTTAATAGATAAAGGAGCAAAATATATTGTACTATCAAAAGGCATGCAAAATAAATTAGAAACACCCAAAGAAACAAAAGATTTTCTTGAAGAGAATAATATGAAATTAGGCATTAATTATTTTATTGAAACAACTCCAGAAGCATATAAACGATATAATAGTTTGGTTCAAGAAAACAAACCTGTCGGTGCATTATTACATTCGACATGTTAATCTTTTTTTTTTCATATTGTGTGTGTCAAAAACAAAAATAGTTTTTAAATAACAATAATACTAATCTAGATTTAACTAAACTAGCGATGAAAAAACTAATTGATATGTATATTCCTATGACGAATGATTCATCTGTTCGATTCTATCATAAAAGTTGACCAATTCTGTTGGATTTCGTACAATTCGATAGTTCTTGTGATACAAAACAACAAAGGTCAACGGTCACATTCAATTGTTAGAACAACTAAGAATATCATATTTCAATGTTAACAATTCAAACAACTTGAGAATAATTTCTGTCGAAATTTATTAGAATCCGAACGGAACAAATTTGTTCTGTGCTTTCTTTTTTTTTCTCTTTTGTCGTTCATCGAAGTAGACTTATCATTTATGTCATGCACATACTCATACAAGCATATTCACATTTTTTGTTCATGTGAGAATGATAGTATTCATTTGGGAATTACATATATAAGAGTCGTCCTTTCGCTTTGTCTCATTTGTCGAATAGTAGTCAATGCTTCGTGCTTAGTTTTATTCAAAGAATTTTTCTCAAACAAAATTAGATTCTCTCCATATATAAAAACATTGACGAGAATGACACGTTTTCCAAGAAGTTTATTGTCAATATTTTTCTTTCCGCTTTTTTTTCTTTCATTTTTTATTAGATATCTAGTAGACAGTGCCAATCGTTTATTCTCTAGTGATTTTCACGACGATACAGCATAACGAATTGAGATGAGTGCAGATCGAAATAAATACTAAAAAAAAACTGACAAATTAATAACACTGTTCCATATTGCTATTTTATGTACATCCAACTATTAGCATTTACTGACACGTACTATTTTGACCTATATTTATCAACAACGACCTAAGGTAATTTCTTTAGAGAACTCCTATTTCATGAGCGCATTTAGGCGTATGTGTTTTAATGAATTAACACCAATCATTTCGATATATAATATAGACAAATCTAGTAAAAAATTGTTGTTTGTTGAAAGACATTCAAGTAGACTATTGACTATTAACATCATCATCATCACTTAGTGAAGCATCACTATTTCATATGTTTACGACGAAAAGCAATGAGAAAACAGTTTATAGAATTGCTTATTTAGAATAGAGTTATACACAGTAGTTTGTCATTCATTATTTGAGTTCTTATTTCTTTTTCTCGTTCCATCATTCTATTTCTCTGTCACATCTATAAAAATCCTCAGTGATAATGCAAATAACTTATTTCTTTGTGTATGCGTAGCCGTTGAGAAAAAAATCCGACTTGTGTCAAGTGTATGTGTGAAGAAAACGTTTCAAATATCATTAAGGAAACTGAATGAAGCATTTAATAGACATAGAAAAAAAAATGAGGGCAACTATATAAGGACGACATTCTTGATTTATTCTTTTTTGTAAAAAAGTCTATGAACGAATTAGATTTATCTTTACGATGTATGAATAATGTCAAGAAAAAGAAGTAACATCAGACTAAGTAGATTCATTGTAAATTGGCTTTTATCTTTGTGACAAGCTTCTATCTCCGCTCTTATTTTTTTTCTCTATGTATTACTTGAAGAAAAAAGCACATAAAAAATTCACTTGTCTAGAACACAAATCATGTCGCCGTAATCTTTCGCTTGGTTTATCTATCATCACATTTGGTGTCAATCATTATATATGATATGATGGGTGGTAATCTATTCTATCGTACAATAAATGACAAACAAGCATTACTAATGAGAACAAGTGAGAGTGATATTCATTGAGTACCATATGTCTCTAGGCATGTACATATATATAAAATAATAACCTCGAGTTTTTTTTTAATCAAAAGTCTTAGTCTTAAAACTAATTCTCATAGAAATGTTTGTCTTTTATTTAGATAGCCATACAATAGAGATAGTAGGTTTTTTTTTTCTTGTCTATTATAATAATAGAATACTTTTTCTTTTTTGTGTTGTTTTTTTTCTTAACATTAAATAATAGCGCCTACTGTTCTCTTTTGAAGATATTTATCGTTTGATACTTGAATTATATATATGAATAGAAAATATGTCACCCTATTTCAATTGTCTCCGTTAATGTTCGTAAAACGATATCCGTTGTTTTTTTCCCTTTTTCATTTTTTACTAGTACTACGATTACAACTTCTACTGTTGTTATTCAATCAAACAGACGAAATCTCAATGTAAATGAAAGTCAAATAAAATATAAGAATATTAGAACAAAATCGATCCGTTGCACGCACATTTTCATCCATTTTTCTCTATATTGATCTTTTACTTATTAGCATAACGGAAAGAACTTTACTATGTTCTAGACAACTACATATGATAAATATAGATTTGCTTCTTATTTTCTTTCTTTTCTTTTTTTTTCTACTTCTTAATGTCCTTAATAATGATGTTCGCATGAAAACGAGTGATTTATACTCATTGATAGGTTTGATAAGTATATATAAAAAAAAATAAGAATGAAAGAACACTTGTTATTATCTTTAAATTATCTGAATAATTCTTTTAGTTAGATATTATCTCTTAGATATATATCTATATAGTACAATCGAAATCGACTGAATCATTTTTCACGTAAGATAAATATAATTTATTAAAAGGAGGAAGAATCAATATTTATTATTTGCATTCTTCCGATCTCTTCAGCCATCGACCATATTTTGTTTTTCAAATTTAATTCCATTTCAACATTTTATTAATATATATTATGACGTGTTCGATACTCGAATGAGTAATATATATATATATATAAATTGACTTTCATACTATGATGAACTTAAATGGATTCAATTACATTTTCATTATTAACAAGCAGTATTAATCCATTATATTCTCCTAAACTTTCTACTACAACGTCATTAGCCCTGTCATCATCACCATCAGCAACAACAATAACAACACTAAATGGAACAGGCAGTGCAGCTGAACTAACAAAAACACTCATACCAGAAAAATATCAAGTAATTTTATTAAGTTTTGCATATGGCATTATATCTTTACTTGCTGTTGTTGGTAATTCATGTATTATTTATATTGTCCTACGCAATCGACGAATGCATTCAGTAACAAATTATTTTATATGCAATTTAGCCTTAGCTGATTGTCTTGTTGCTTGTTTTGCTACACCATTCCAAGTATGTCATTTTCTCTTAATAATCAAATACAATGAGAAATATATTTTATTTTTGTACTAGTTTCAAGCGGCAGCTCTTCAAAAATGGGTCTTACCTCATTTTCTTTGCAAATTAGCACCTTTCGTTCAAATACTTTCTGTTGATGTATCTATATATACTCTCGTAGCTGTTTCGCTTGATCGTTATCATGTTATGTTACATCCATTAAAACCAAAATTATCAACAAAAAGTGCATGTATTATATTTATTATAATTTGGCTTGTTGCATTGGGATCATCAACACCTAGTCTTATATTTTATAATGTTTATTTTATAGATGATTTTGGTTATCAATGTTTGCCGAATGCATCTGATCTACAACAGAATAATAATTCGACAACTAAATCTTATGATATACATAAAATTTATATTGTTTATAATATATATTCACAATATGTAATACCATTTATAATAATAAGTTGTGCTTATTTTCGTATAGCAGCACATTTATATTTTTCCAAGCCAGTTGGACAAACAAAACATCAAGAAGTTATTGCTCGTAATAAACGTAAAGTAAGATTACTAAAACTAGTCTTGAAACAAACGAAAGAAAAAAACAAGAGAAAAAACAGTAAAAATAGCAGCTGTATGGGTTTTTTTTTGTAGACTTGAGAAGGTGATCATGCTGAGACAATCTTTATTAGATTGCCTTATAGATAAAAAGAATTAATATTTTACCAACATTAATAAGTGTATGATATATTGATTCAGTTTTTTAATCAAGGTCAAATGTTATTTTTAGGTATTAAAAATGTTATTTCTTGTTGTCGCTTTATTTTTAATCTGTTGGTTTCCATTACAACTTTATAATTTTCTTAATGTTTATAAACCTGAAATAAATGAGTATGCTATTTTTTTAAATTTTATACATATATGAACCAAATATGAATCTTTTATTTTTCTTTAGTTTTAAACATATTGTAGTCTTATGGTTATGTGCTAATTGGCTTGCTATGTCTAATTCATGTCATAATCCATTTATTTATGGTTTTTGTAGCGTATGTTGTTTTATTTTTCTTTGGATTTTCATATTTATTTATTTATTTGTTTATATAATTCTTTTCTAATAGGTCAAATTTAATCGAGAATTTCGTAAACTTTTTTCTTGTTTTCCTTGTATTGATGCTACTCAATTAGATACTGATTTACCAAATAAAAATCGTGTAAATGTACCATTATCAACTCAACATCGATCAACAGCATTACAATTACGACGTGTGAATTGTCAACGTCGTTCACCGAATTCTTCACCAAATCTCTTGCAAAGAAAACGATGGTCTCATTCGAATACAACAAATAATCAAGTTTTATCAACAACAAAAGGACATCGGAATGAAAAACATTATAATTTTTTTTCAAATAATAATCCCAGTGATCATCATCATCATCATGCATTATTTGGTAATAATAATAATAATTATTATAGTACAAAAAAGGATCGATCAATAACTAATTGTGAAAAATTTTTACCCGATAATGATTTAATTAATTCTACAAAAGAAAACGATCTTTTGTTAATTCATGCACGACAATCGACACTTTTTTTGTAATTTTTTCTCATCTTTATTTTTTGTTTACTGTACATTGAAAAAGATGTGATAAAAAGCAAAGTTTCAATTAAAATTAGAAGAAAAAACAGAATACATGTTTTTAATACATAAAACGCATAAGGATAAAAACAACAAACGTTATACCCATAGTTCAAGTTGTACGTTAGATATCGACAGTTATTAATATTGACGTTTGTAACTACTTGCTATTATTGTGACTGGATATTGTACTCATCTAAGTAAAGATCAATAATTTTCTTTTTTTTTCCTTTGCTCCGCACCAATCATCACATATAACGTCAAACATAGGTGATGATCAATTTATTGTTTATTCAAATTATTTAGTTTTCTCCTTCCAACCAAAAAAAACCTTTTTTTTTCATGTGGTTTGGCGGTCGATGTCTGAGGGCGTGCTGAGTTACCAGTTTGATTTATGCTGATAACTTTTTTTTTAACCAATACGTGATAGTGGCAAAAAAAAAATATCGAAATATTGCAGCAAAAAGAAAAGAGAGAGAAAAGAGACAAGGGATACATAATAAATCGTATGCATCATTAAGCAACGATGTCATCAAGGTGGTTGGGTGAGAAGGTGAAAAAAAAAGGGTAAGAGAGAGAAACAGAGAGAAAAAGATAGAGAGAACGGCAATCTTCACTAGTATATAAACAGTAGTCTTTCCTTCTTAGCATTTCACTAACCATCTTCCTCTTTCAACAACACATACCGATACAAATATGGCCAATTACGAATATTCGTCATACTCATCGTCAAGCGGCGGCGGTGCTGGTGGACTTGATGCTTCAGGAGCAGTCTTCTCAAATGTTGATGCCAACAAGGATGGTGCAATCGATCGAGCTGAATTTGCCAATTGGCTCGGTGGTGGTGCCGGTGGTGCTGGCGGTGTTGCATTCGGTGGTGGTGCCGGTGGTGCTGGCGGTGTTGCATTCGGTGCTGGTTTAGGAGGAGCTGGTGGTAGTTACGAATCATCAAGCTATTCATCCGGAGGTGCTCTTGGTGTTGATGCCGGTCTTGTCGGTCTCGGAGGTGCTTCCTCTTTTGACTCAGCATCCTACTCATCAGGTGCTGGCCTTGATGTTGGTCTTGTCGGTGGTGGTGCTGGTGGTTTTATCGGTGGTGGTGCTGGTGGCCTCCAAACAGCAGGATATGAAACAGCTGCTGGTGGTTATGATATTGCAGGAATTAACCAAGCAGCTGGCTATACAGCTGATACCAATGCTGCCTGGTCACGATATGGTGCCGAAGTACGTGGCGCTGGTCTCTATGTCGATGCTAACCCACAAATCATTCGACGACAAGCACCAGGTGGTGTTCAAACCTATACACAAAACATCAGAGTCCGCTTCCTTCAACCACCACCTGTTCCACCTCCAGGCGTAAGTTATACTTAATATATATATATTTTTTCAACAATCATCTTATTCTTGTAGCCACTCATCATCAGAGAAGTGCGCCCACCTCAACCACCAGTTCCCCCACCACTTCGCATCAGACAACAAGCACCACCTCTTCCACAACCTCCTCCACTCGTTCTTCGTGAAAGACCACCACAGCCACCAGCTTCTGTTGCTTCACAAACAGTTATTCGAAAACTTGCTGCTTTACCCGTACCTCCACGATCAGTTGTCATTGAACGTCTTCCAGCTGCTCCACCCCGACCACGTTAGTGAATTTTTTCTTTATTGTATTATTTTCTTTCATTTGTCTAACTTTTTCTTTTTATACTATAGGTGATATCATCATTGAACGTTGGGTTCCATATGGTCCTGCTGGCAAACGACAAACTATTGTTCAAAGAGCTGCAGCAGCCAAAGGATATGCTGCACCACGTAATGTTATCATTCAATACGACCAAACTCCAGTTCGTGTTGTCCGACAATTCGTACGATTGGGTGTTGCTCAAGAAAATCCAGCTGCTTACGTTCAACGATGGGGAGGAGCTTTACTTGATTCTCACACTCTTGTTGCACAAGCTCGTGCTGCTGGTGTTGTTGAAGATATTGTGAGTATACACATATTTTTCTTCTAATTTCTCTTATATTCATTAAAATGTTTTCTTTCTCTTATTTGTTTAGTCTCCTCCAGCTGGTGTTGCAGCTGGCTTTAGTGCATCATCATTTGGCTCAGATGCAGCCCTTGTTGCCGGTGGTGCCGGCGGTGTTGGTGGAGCTGAATTTCTTACTGTAGGTGGTGGAGATTTAGGTGGTGCTTCATCATTCTCATCCAGCAGCTATGAATCCTCTACAGCAGGCGGAGTCGGTAAGTATATTATTTTGTTTTCTCTTTGATTTATTATTTTTTTAATATATGATAGGTGGTCTTGTTGGTGGTGGATTAGAAGGTTCTTTCGTTGGAGGAGGTGGTTTAGCTGGAGGAGTTGGCGGTGGCTATTCATCAGGCTTCGAATCAGCATCATATTCATCAGGTGTCGGTGGTGCTGAAGGATATGGTGTTGGTCTTGGTCATGGTGGTGCTGGTATTGGTGTTGGTGGTGGTGCTGGTGCTGGTTTTGGTGGTGGTGCTGGTTTTGATCTTGCTACTGCATCTTTCAATAGCGCCGATACAAATAGGGATGGACGTCTTGATGCTGGTGAATTCCAAAAATTCGTTCAAGGCGGTTTATAAACAACTAATCTTTTTCTTTTTTTCAGTATATTCCTCTTTTTCTACTATTTTAGTTTAAGGATACAATTTTTTTCTATCTAACTGCTGTTTGCTAATGTGATATTGTTTCATTTTGATTAATACTTTCTCCCGGTTTTTTATAATGTCAAGAAAGATAGCAACTAAAATAAAATATCATATATTTTAGAAGTCTCTCTTTCATTACAGCTGTCATTATTATGTAACTATATATCCACAAAATATTGTATTCATATCTCAGTCCTATCAGCCATGAAATGACCCTAGATAAATCATTAACAGCTGTTCATCTCCGATTCACGCGTTCTATAAGCAAGCTGACTACCTTGTGACATTCACGTACTCTTCTGTCTAGTATATAATTACCTAGTATATATAGAAAGTACAAAACTTCTGCATCGAGCTGGCTTTCTATTCATAACTATAGCTAGTATTAATCGTAGGAAAGATAATAAACTACTGATTTTATAACTAAGCATCACCCCATACCACAAGGTAGTCAACAAGGCAGAGGTTTTTTTTCTTTTTTCTCGTTTATAAATAGGCCTGTCTATTCATTTAGATATATATTATGCAAACGCATATTCAAGGTTAATTATTATTTTGAATGATATATAATTTTCATTTGGTATCTAATTACCTTGAAAATACATTGACATATACAAGAAGAAAAAAGCGCATTAATGATAGTAATCTTAAATTTTCGTAGACATTTGATCATCAGAACATATTATGAAATGTATTAATATTATAAATGAGCGTCAGGAAAAATAATAAGTAAAAGATAGAAAAAACAAGATAGGTCATCAATTTATGTACATGTTAATAAAGGTAAGTAAAAGGTCTGCTAATAGTGAGATGAAATAGTCAAACGACAAAAAAAAATAATGGAATGATATATATCAAATTATATTTATTTATATTTTTTTGACATATTCTTCTTATCTAGCCCAATGATAGCTTCAAAATGCGCTAAATAAATGTATATAATAAATAATACAAATTTTTTCTTCTTTATTAATATTAAATAAGCACAAGCGAACTTCGAAGTTTTTCAACTTCTTTATTAAATTTTTCTTCTGTAGTTTTAATTCGTCCATCTGTTACACGTTGTAATGTTTTAACTGAACTTTCAAGTGATTCAAAACAAGTTCGCATTTCTTTTTTAACTTTTTCTAAATTAGCTATTGTTCGTTGATGTTTATCATCAAAACGTTTAAAAACAGCTTGCTCAATAGACTAAAAATACAAATAAAAATTAAAACCAAAAAAAGAATTTATGATTTTTTTTTGTTTATTAAATAATTTTACTTCATTATTTCGATTTAAATTTGATGTAGCTCGTTTATAATGATCTTCTAAAGAAGCACTTTGACGCTCAAATTGATATATAGCATCTTCAATACGTTTCTCAAATCGTTCCTAGATATATAAATAAGAAAACAAAAATTAATTGGTTTTTTGTTTTTTGTTTTTCTTAATAGAATATTTTACATATTTTTCTAATGACCGTTTAATTTCGTCAAGTTTTTGGTTGATTCGTTGTTCAGATCGTTCGCGTTCGCTATTTTCTTGACTTTTAACTTGAAATATTTGACTACGAAGTTCATCAACAAATGCACGTGATCGTGTATCAGCTGTTGATAATGCTCGTGTTGTATCTGATTCAAATGTACGTAATATAACTTGTTGTTCACTAAATATTCGATCAATACGTTGACTTAATGTTGAAATCTATGAAAAGATTTCAGATTTTGAAATAGACAAAATACATACACACACAAATGGTCATATGTTTTATATTAATTACTCAAACATTTAATTATTATGAATACACGAAAATTATATTTATTTCTTTATGTATATTTTGTTTTCTTCTGGAAATTCAATCATTATTTAATAGATAAGTTTTTCTTTTATGAAACTTAAAAATTTTGCTATGTTTTTAAAATAAGTATCTTTTGAATGTTATCAAAACTTGCATATTTACAGGAAGAATTTTGGAGAAATAGTTTTTTTTTTTCATGTAAAAAAAACAATTATTTTCAATGAAATAAAAATTTTCTATTTATATTATTATTCGAAATAAACTCATCATATAATCGTTTCAATCGGTATTTTTGCTATGTCATTCATGATTAATATCTATATTGCAATACATTTTAATCAGTTTTGCGTCGTCAAAATTTCACTGTTATTTCTTTTACTTCATATATGAAATATATCATATAAAATAAAATATTACTTCTAATTTTAATTCTTGTTGGCGTTGTGCATTAGATCGATTTAATTCTTGTTGATTATTGAAAGCTTCTCGAAGTCCATTTGATAATTGTTCAATATCAACTTTTAATTTTTGTACAATTGAATCTGTTCTAGAGAATTTAGCCTGTAGATCCATATTTAATTGACGAAGTTGTTCATCTTGTGTTTTTTGATTTGTATCTAATTTAATCAATGCTGATTCACGTAAAGATATTTGATTAGCTACTGATTCTATATCAGTATTTAATTTTTTACAAACAGCTGATAACACTTGCACTTGATCCATTATTATTTTAAATTAGATGAATTCTCTTAATAAAACCAATCAATTATTAATCATTGTCTTTCATATCAATTATGTCACTATGCAACAGCCTTATAAAGTTATTATCAAAAGTCTCTTTTTTAACCAAAGATGGCGCTGAAATATGTTTGAACAATGTATGATGTTTTTTTTACTGTTAAAAATTAGAAAGCTTATCTTGAAAAATATGTTCACATACATGTTCAAAGAAAAAAAAAAGAAAGAAAGAGAGAAAATAAATGACAATAAAGAACTTTAAAAAGCATTAACCGACACCAATAAAAGTTCACAACAGAGAAAAAAGAATAAGAAGAAAACAACTAAAGGTTTTTTTTCTAATGTTTTATTTTTGATTTCTTGAATATGTCATATGTATTGTTAAGATATTCATAGATGATATGAAAGCTCTTATCAAAATGACACATTATCGATATTCACTAATAATGAGAATAATATTCCAAAAGAAAGGAAGACTAAAGTGACAGTCAATTAAAAGAAAAATCCCTGTTCACACGAACATTGACATACACTACTCAAGGCACATTGATATTGACCGGTAGCAGGCAAACAAAAACAAGAGAGAAAAAAAACTGAACATTCAATTATCAAAATAAACATTCGAAAAAAGAAAACTTTTTTTTGGATATTCATTCTCTGTCTAAAATTCTTGTTTTGCGTATCAACACGGAACGTTCACAAGCAAAATGTATACGTGAAGAAAAAAAAAAAGAAAAAGAAAAAATTCATGATTGACAATTATTGCTATTGAGATATCTGAGACTCTCGCTCACATTATGATGAATTAAATTGCTCTGGTTTTAGTTTATGCCACATTTCAGTCCATTGTTCTGGTGATTTAACCATTAATAACCAATGTCTTAATTCATCACCTGATGATGATTGACCTAGTTCAAATCCACCTAGAAAAAAAAAGAAACGAATAATATAAATAATTCAACTAAAAATCAAAAATATAATATTGCTTATTACAAAACAACAAAAACTTATTTAGGAAGGAAATAATCAATGTCAATCGTAGACCTTAAAAAAACCGGAAATAGATTTCGTAATCAGAAATCTTATTTCTGTTGAGGTCAATATCAATTGAGAAAAAAACGTTTTATCTTTTGTTTCTTAGATTTTGTTTAAATAATAATAATAATCGTCAATCGTTGATACAAAAAAAAAAACAATGAAGCCTTTTTTTCTATAGGTTTTTTTAGATGTCATCAACGAATTTTCTTTTTTTTTGTCAGGAAAAGAAAAGACTATACTTATTAATTCCTTTCTACTGAGTATATTCATAAAAGTTCATTAAGTTCGTTAATCTACTGACTAATATCAATGATTGAAATTTTTTTTTTATTATCTGACAAGTAAAATAATCTGACGAAATATTTACCAATATAATCATCTTTTTTTCCCATGTCTTTATCATAAACTGTTATTTGTAATGTTTTACTAATCAATTCTTGTAATGGTATATGTGGAAAAATAAATTCTTCATTAAATTCTGGTTGTAATGTATGTTTTTTAACTGTTGTTTTAAAATTCCATTTTGTATTTATATCACTTGAAGGATATAATAATAATTTACAATATGGATCTGATGTTTGACCAAAATCCATTGGTAATAATTGAATACCACGTAGAATTCTTACATGAAAGTTACATGTTAATTTTGAATATAAAAGACTAATAAGAATTTTTCCACGTTCATTTTTATCTTCATCCAAAGATAACTAAAAAACCAATATTATCATCGAATACAAAAAAAAAAATAAATCTGTTAGTTTAACTAAAGACAAGTAAGCATATTTAAACCAAATTAATAAAAGCAACACAAAAACAAAGAGCAAATTAATAAAACAATAGAATTTATTTAATTACTTCAATATCCTAAATAAAAATAAAAATTATATGAAAAGAAAATATAAGGAAGAATTATTTTGTTTTTGTTTTTTTTAATTTTCACTTACTTCTGTTTTATTTTGTAAATAAACAGAATAAACTTCTTTAACATCAGGTCTAGTTTTTGATAATTTTAAACGATATTCACCAAGAAAATCTGCACCAACGGAATCTTCATCAAGAACAGTAAATCTTTAATAATTAAATAAATATTTCAAAATAATAAAAATATAATTTGTTGTTCTTTTTTTTTATTTTACTTGAGGTATTTAGTTTTCATATCATCGGATGATATTCCATGATAAACAAGAGTTTCATCAAAATCTGGATTTAATGTTCGACGAATTGTATGACTACGTAATTTAGTTGCCTAACAAAAAAAAAAATAAAGTATAACAAAAATAATAATAATAATTATTATTATTCCTAAGTACTTTAGCAACACCAGGTACAAGATGTAATTTAACATAAGGATCTGAAAGTCCATTTGAATCAGCTGAACGTAGATTACGAGCTCGTATTAATGTTATTGTTAAAATATTAAACGCTTCTCTCCAAATAATATCAAAATCAAGTGTACCTAATCCTTTAAAAACAAAATAATTTTCAAAAGAAAAAAAGAAATTCAACAAACCACAATCATCCATTGATGATGATGCAGTTAGAATAGAAGATGATAATGGACGAATATTTGTTGATGATGCTGTGTTAGATATCATTGATGGAACAGGTGATGACGATGTTGATGATACTGGTGGTTGTGATGATGAACGTCCTTGAGATTTTGGAATATATTCATCAATAGAATATTCTAAAAATATATATATATATTTATTTATTTATAATTTAATTTTCATTATAAATAACTATTACCTTTTAAACTTCGCTCATCAGTTTTAAATGAATCAACACTTTCATCACGATCTGGCTCAGTTATAGAATGTGTATTATCATAATTTTGTGGATATGAATTTCTATTTGTATAATAATTATTTGATATTGCTAAAATTTTATAAATTATTAAATAAATCTTTATTTGTCTTTTCTTTTTTAAATCTTAAAAATTCTAACCTATACTTGGTGAAGCTCGTCGATTAAATCGACTACTATTACTTTGTCGATCATCAGAACTTGAATCATCATCAATAGATATACTATCACTTTTTGTCGTGACTGATGATATAGCTGATGAGGACGGTTTTACACTTGAAGGTAAAGTTGAACGTGATGGTAAGGCACGAAAAAACCAAGCACCTGATTTTTTCCATAACTAAAACGAAAATAGAAATTTTATAATTTTAATTTTCATACAAAAAAAAAATTACTTCACGATTTTCACTACAAATTTTACACAACGATATAACTTGTTGATTATAAACAGTTTCTATAGAACATTTATTGCACACAGACTAAAAAAAAAAAGAATATTAATAATAAAAATAAATAAAAAATAAACAAAAGATTCGTTTACTTTATGACAATCAACACAGCATACAGATGATGCACCTAACATACCAAATCCATCAGCACATAAAACACATTGTGATGAACCATTTCCAGTCGCATGTTTTTTCATATTATCAAGACGATCAATAAGTTTACTAGACAAAAGAAAAAACTTCTAACAATTAATATAACGAAAAATATTTTATTTTTAATCATACCCGACACGTTCTTGTTCAATAAGTTCAATACGTTGAGCGCGTTCAAGAACTTTTTTAATTCTTTCCAATTCTTCATCGCGTAATGATTGATTACCATTTGTCGCAGCATTAGTTGCAGCAGCAGCAGCACTACCAAAACGATTTGTTGGTGTTGCACTAGAACTACGTGTTGGTGTACGGCCTGTATGAAATGACCACCCAGAATTAAGTCTGAAAAAAAGAAAACAATAACATATAATATAATATATTTATTTATTTATTTATTTATTTTGTTTTTAGTTTACTTTGCTCGAAGTTGTAATTGACGATCATTTGGACACACAAATGATCCGTTACCGACGTCCTTCATTTAGAGAATTTTTTTAATCATTTATCCATAAATATACGAAAGATTTTGTTTTTATATATTTATAACTATTAATATCGCAGGTATCTTAAATAAGAATGACAGAAAATATTAAAGACTAACAAAATGGTTAACAGAAGAAAAAAAAAAGAAGAATTGTGTAGCGCTACTATCTATTTTGAAAAAACGTTGATATAAGTGACAAAAGACTGGTATGTGTGAAAGAGGAAAAAATATAATATATAATAAAGAAAATCCGACTGTTTGTCGCATTGAATAGAAAGGAAAGAAAAATGAGATTGAGACCTTATTGACAATAAACGCATTTATATTCGACTTATGGAGATACTTGCTCTTTTAATTTATAGAACCAAAAAAACTTTTTTTTCATCAAGATAACTAGTAGTTTCTGCAGATTACTCAAATAACGATGACCTATAATATTTAATATTAAAAAAAAACATATATCGTTTCGATATATTTTTTTTTAATAATTATATAAGACAGTAACATTTTCTAGACTACACATATATATATATTTGCTCATTACTTCATATTATCCGACGGCGTATCGAATTTGCATGTTATATAGAATCATGCATCTTAGCTAGATGGAGAATTACGACCATTTTTCTGCTTCTATGAATGATTACTGCATTTATTATGAGACCAAAAATAAAAAAAAAATTATTTATCAATTGATATGAGTCTATATTACTAATCAGTCGACCTTGCCAATTTTTATGACTTAAGAAGAATAAAAAGAAAAGCCAAAAACAAAAAGAAGAAAATAATATCCAGGGTAAACTCCAAAGATTGATTAGTAACAAAGTCAACTATGTGTAAGTGCCTATATATGCTTGATTCTCGAAATAAATCCACAATTACTATCTTTCTTTTTTTTTTTTGTTTTTTTGTTCATCATTGCAATAATACAATAAGACCACTTGAGATTTTGCAATGTTGACTACTGCTATTACTACTGACTGATAGAGGAAGATACAATTCCCACATTGCATGTCTCAAATTAGAGACGTAATCAAACAAGCAACAAAGCCTTC